GTGTCAAGAACCAGAGGTCTGCATCCTCAGAAACTTTTTGTTTAACATTAGTTTTCAGAATCAAGCTGAGAAATGTTTCTTCTCTCTAAATTATTTTGTAACCTAAAGGATTTCACATATAGAGTAATTTTTATATGTAAAAAAAAAAAAAGCACACCTAATTAAATATATTTGAATTTGCCACACTCAGAAACCAGGCCTACAGCTCTTGCTATAATATGAAAAATCCACTGCAGATTTTTAAGTACAAAAACTCAAAAAGAGACCATATGTCAATATTTTAAATTAGTTTTTAAAATCTAAAAATGTTTTGTATAATCCCATGTAGAAGTTATAAATTAAATGACTACTTATAAGTAAACAAATCATTCTTGTAAACTTCCTTTAAAATGTTTAAGCAATCACTATTTAGTTTTAAATTCCATAATGCCATGAACCAAAAATAAAAAAAAATTTGAGCTAGGCAGAGTGGGGATATAACTGAGTCATAACAAGCTAATTTATTAACACGTCATATTAACCAACAGTTCTAGTACTTGAATCACTATGTTTATCATAAAGCTCTGTCTGAATAGTCTCAAGTAGGATATGAGTAAAACACAAAATTCATCACTTTTTAAAAACACATCTAAATTACTGAGGTCATCTGTATGCCAAAATAAAAATAGGAAAGGAAATAAGATGCCTTCAATTATGGTTCAAAGCTGTTTCTGGAAAGCTGTGGGCTGCCTAATTTGAGTGACACACATTACAACCAAGTAAGGCCCCAGACAAAGCTCTTTGTTAAATTTGTTCAGCATTCTCAGACAGAAGAGTAGGGCTTTTCTTGGTATAGCTAAGAAGCTGATGTAGAAGCTGAATCAATGCTCATCACTGTGAGAAAGGGCTGCCTGGTACAGACAGTTTTGAGAATGTTTGCACACAGAGTATCACTGCCCTTATAAAGATGAAAAGTAAGAAACGGGGAGGCAGACCAAACTTGTTTTAATCATAGGATCATAGATCTAGAGAGGTAAAAAGGACCTCAGAGTCGATCTCATTTGTAAAGGGAAAAACCTAGAATGTACTGTTATTCAATATCAAGGTAAAGTACAATACTGATCCTTAATGAAAGAAGAGTTAAGAAATGAGAAGCAGGGCCAAGAAGTTGGAAGAGTAAAATAAAACATATAAAACATAAAGGACTGGAGTACTCTTGAATATTTGGAGCCAAAAAGTAAATAACAATTAATCTTTGCCTAAAAAAAAAATCACTACAATATAATGTAAAGTGTGATAATGATTTTAATACCAAGTCTTTTAGAGAAAATAAAATTGGAGAAATCCCAATTATAGAGGAAGGAAACAACTGAACTCAACATACTTTCAAAGTAGTTTCGTAAGATATCCAAATCAATTTTAAAACAAAAATTAAAACTCTATCACTTAAAATTTCATCAAATTAAAAAATGCAGTTTTTGTCCCTGCTTTCCAAATTAGTTATATTAATTTTTCTCCATTGTCTGAGATTTGTTTGCATTTAAAAATAAATATTACTTAAGATAGCTCTCTAATAACAATCAAGTATAAATTCCTGCTTGGCATTTAAAACTTTTCATAGCAAGGTCCCTTCCTGCCTTTCCGGTCTTTTTATTCCCTGCTACATATCTTCCATCCATATATTCTAGTCCACCTAATGTTCTGCCACTCCATTTCCCCTCCACATGCCTCTGTTTTGGGTGATTCCTTCAAGATTCAGTTTCCCTACAAAAAATGCCCTCTATTCATTTTGTACATATTTTCTATACACATACTTATATAGGCACATGTGGTCTCCATTAGACTGCAAGCTCCTTGAAGGCAGGGACTATTTCAAGTCAAGCCAAATCAAATCAAGTCCATAAGAATTTATTAACAGTGCTAGGCTCTGTACTAAAACCTGGGTATAAAAAAGAAAGATAAAAATAGTCCCTGTCAAGGAACCTGAAATCTAATGGAGGGAGAAAATCGATGAACAGCTTTGTAAAAACCAGATATCTATTTGGTAAACTGGAGATAATCTTGGAAGAAAGGCAACAGCATTAAGGGAGACTGGGAATGGCTTACTGCAGAAGGTGGGATTTTACCTGAGCTTGAAGGAAGACAGAAAGCAAAGATGAAGAGGGAAAGAATTTCAGTCTTTTTTGTCTTTGCACATCCACTGTGTCCTGAACCCCATGCCTGGCATATAGCAAGCACAAAATAAATGCCTGTTGACCATTTAGGAGTAATAGCACAGAGCAATGGGAAGTATACTGGATCGAGGCTTGAATCTTACCTTAAAAACCCTATTAGCTGTATAACCATGAGAAAGATACAACCTCTCTTAAGCCTCATTTTTCCAGATGTAAAATGGGGATAATAATATTTACAAAAACCTATCTCATACATTTGTTGTGAGGACAGTACTTTGCAAACTTTAAAGCACTATCTAAATATGATTATTACAAAAACAAGATCCTGCAGCAAAATCAAAGAACAGAAAACAAAACCCAAATTTTCTGATCCTAATCTGAATTGCTACATATTCATAAAAGCCAAATAAAAGCTTTCAATAATCTCTCTTTTTTCTATCTATAAAATTAGGATCCCCTAACCCTTCTACCAAAATCAAAGAAGTAGGAAGTTTGCTAAATAAAGCCCACTAGATGAAGCTAAAAAAGAAACTCCCCCCTTCCTACACACACACACACAAAATGACTATGCCCATTAAACATGAGAGAAAATAGAAGAAATGAAGAATTATTACTCAATCAATGAATTTCAGAGTTAGAAAGAACCTTAGAGGATATCTCATCCAACTTGTACCAGAACAGGAAGCCTCTCCCACAATCAACCCATTAAGTGGTTATCATGGCCTGTTCTAGTGAGGGGAAATCCATTACTTCTCAAGGTAGGCCCTTCCACTTTTGGATGGCTCTAACTGGAAGAGTTTTTTCCCCTTATATGAAACCTAAATCAAAAACTTCAAGAATGCTCTCCTGTCCCACCACAAAGTCTTCTTTCCTCCAGGCTAAAAATCTCCCTATGCCACGGTTTCTAGTCCTCTCATCATTCTGGCTGTCCTCTTTATCAGTGTCAATCTTAAAATGTGACACATAGAAGTGAATAAAATACTCCAGATGTGGCCTGATCAGAACAGAGTAGAATAGGCCTACCACCTCCCTGGGCCTGGACACTATGACTATGACACTGTGCAGTCCAAATTATCCCTTTTTGGCTGCCATGCCACATTGTTGACTCAAACTGAGTGTGCAGTCCATTAAAACTCCCAGATTTTCTTTTCACAACTTTCATCTAACTTTGACTTCCTTATATTAGACCTGTGAAATTGATTTTTTAAGTGCAAAATATTATTTATCTTTATTAGACTTGGTCTTTTGTTCCAGGCTGTTGAGCTTTTTAAAGATCTAAGTTAATTATACAAAGAATCTATTTTAAAATTGCTACAGACACACATCACCTTACCCACTGAGAGCAGCAGTTTGTTGCATGACAATCATGAGCAAGAAAACCAGTCTAGCTATAACCGGAAATTGCATCTAGCAACTAAGCAGAGTCTATTTCTTTTTTACTCAAATTCTGTGGCAGAGTATATCAGAGCTACTCTGGGACTATTTCCAAGGCACCTGTACACACAACATTTATGAAACAAAGCTGAGATAGACAATACAGTCCTTTACTCAGTAGGGCATTATTTACCGAGAGCAGCCTGGATTATTAAGAAGCTAGGGGGAGAAAGAGTGAAGGCAAAGTGTCTGCCAATTGTGCTTCAGTATAGGTTGAAGATGACTGACCTCATCCAGGGTTGGGAGTCAGCCTGAATGACAGATTTCCTGTGACTCCAGGCCACTGGCTCAATTATACTGACTGAACGACAAAGCTTTCAGTCAGCCACAACACTCTCATAGCCTCTCACCACCTTAAACCAAACTATCACTTGTAAAACAAGTTTACAGCAAGAAAAGGTTCCTATGCCCACCGAATAGTATTTTGTTCCCCCCCTCTCCCCCAAGCCCAGGTGAACACACCCTGGCAAAACTAAGGTCCCTACACCCCAGCACTGGAACCCTAGAAAAAGCCGACAATCAGAGACACTTTGATTTGTGTTCTGGAGCAATCAATCCAAAAGCAGCTATTAATCTCCAACTATGCATGCCAGGCACAGTGCTGCTTTGAGGATACAGAGACAAAAACTACAGTCCCTGGCATTTCTCCCCAAACTCTGAGTGTCATTGTCTTAACTGCTCCCTCACCACTCAACTCCATCTTCCTCACGTACGCTTTTTCTTCAACTGCACCCCAACTGAGTCTTGGAGGGAAGAAGTAATTTCTCCTTCAGGACTCCCCCAGTTCCCTTCTACATTTCTCTACAAAACTACCTCCCCCTCCCATCCCAAGCCTTTCTAAAGGTTCCCCCGCTCACCGCCCGGCCCCTTCCTTCTCAAGAGGCCCCCACTCACAGCCACCCCCAGCTCATTTCTTTCTTAGGACTTCTCCATCCTCTCCTCGGCTCCCTCTCAGGGGCTCCCTTACCCAATTCCTAAGTGAAGCCCCTTCTTCTTCACACCGGCCCCCTTCCCTCTCCTTGCTCCCCATTTCCCTTTGGACTCCCCCTCCCCCATGCCGCTCGCCCCTCCTCTCTCTCTCCCTTTCCCCAGTCCCTCTCTCCCTCCACATCCCCACGGCTCCCTCCCCAGCACACCCCCCCATCCCCCCTCCCCTTCTCCCTCCCATTCTCCCCCTTCCCCACTCCCCCACCGCCGCCGCCCCCTCCTCAGCACTCCCCCCTCTCCCCAGCCCCCCCACCAGCGCTCCCCCGACCCCCGCCGCCCCCTTCCCTTCTCCGCACTCGGCCCGGGCCTCGAGCTCTCCCCCGCGGCTCCTCCGTGGCGCTCGGCCTCGCGCGCCGCCGCCCCCGCCCCCGCGTCCCCGGCCCCTCTCCCCGGTCCGGAGCGGCGCGTTGTCACCGGCGGACTCACCTCAGCGGCGGCCGAACCGAAGCGGGATGTGAGCAGCAGTAGCAGCGGCGGCGGCGGCGGCGGCAGCAGCGGGGGCCTGTCCCCCCGCCATCCCCTGGTCCGCCCGCCCGCCCCCCAGAGGCTCGGGCTCCTCCCGGCCGCTCGGCTCGCAGCCCCCACTCAGAGACTCGCTTCCGGGTTCCTGGGGAGGAGGGGGAGAGTGAGCGCAAAGGAGGGGGAGGGGCGGGGCGCGCTGGGGGTGGGGGAGGAGGCAGGGCGCCGGAGGCTAGGAAAGGGAAGGAAGTGTCGCCCGCGGGCGTGGCCTGGCGGCCTGGGGTCGCTGCGCCCCACCTCGGGGCGAGACCAAATACGAAAGTAGGGGGAGAACAACCCTCAAGAGATAAAATGAGCCCTTCCAGCGCCAGCCGAACCTCCGTTCTGGACCTATTCTGAGCCTTTTAATGGAGACTTATATCCCGCTCTATAAGCTTAGTAGCTCCGCAAAAGAGTCGGCCTCGAACTCTGGGAGAATTCCCGGTTCCACCCTTCTGAGAATGGTCTCGCCCACACCTCGGGGCGGAGCTGAGGCGCTCCCCGGCTTCACTCAGCTCCCCTGCAGTTCAACGGAGACGCGGGAAAATGGCGGAGCACCGTTCCAGGCCTTTGGGGTGAGTGGGTGACTGAGTGACTGATCGACCGACCGAGGAAAAGGAGGAGGAGGAAGAGGCGGCCACCGCGCGGTGGAGGCGACGGTTTCCTGGGGCCGAGGGGGAAACGTGGAGGCGAGGTCCTTGCAGGGCCTCGGAAACTCCGAATCCCGCGTCCTCCGGCCCCCGGCCCCCGGCCCCGAGCTCTTCGACCCCCAACGCTGTTGCTCAGCACAGGCCACGGGGTGCAAGGGAGAGAGTTGGGTTTGCATCCTGGCCAACGCCTTCCCTTTCTCCCGGCCTCAGTTTGCTCCTCTGTAAAGGGAAAGCCAAGCCTGACTTTAGTTGACGGAGTGCGGGGCTGGAAGAACCCAGGAAGTCCTGGGTTCGGATCCCACCTGACATTGTTAATAGTAGTGATAACTTTTATTTATATAGCGCTTTAAGGTTTGCGAAGCGCTTTACAAATATTATTTTAACCTCACAACAACCCTGGGAGGTGGGTGCTATTATTGTCCGTATTTTGCAGAGGAGGAAACAGAGGATCAGAGAGGTACCCAGGATCACACAGCTACTAAATCTCTGAGATGGAATTTGAACCCAGCTCTTTTCAAGCACAACGACACTTAACTGCCTCAGTTTGCTAGTAGTATGACCCGGTGCAAGTCACTTAACCTCCCTGAACCTCAGTTAACTTATTTGTAAAATGAGGGGTTGGACTGGCCGGTCTCTAGGGGCCCCTCTGGTTTTAAATCTCCAGTCAGGTGACCCTCATCTTTGAAATTCCTCCCAGCTGTAAGTCCAATGAAGCCAGTGTTCTGTTTGTGCTGTTTCAGGAGGTCCTTCTCGGAAGCGGGACCTAGTGTCTCAGTGAACCCCAAGGCTAAAGGGAGAAGAGTACCAGGTGAGCCAGAAAGGGCCAGGTGGTACAGTGGGATGAGCTGTGGGCTTGGAAGTCAGGAGGTACGGCTTTGACTCTGATAGGGGCAACCTTGGGCAAGTCACTCTCCTTTGGAATTGAGTAGCTGTAAAAAAAATAAGGGAAATAATGTTCTCATCCAGGATTGTAAAGAAAGTGCTTGATTTGGAGCCACAGGACCTAGGTTGGAAGGTCTGACAGGTTACTGCTATTTGTGTTACCTTGGGCAAGTCATTTAATCACTCTGAGCCTCAGTTTCCTAATATGTACTTAACTGGATTAGATGATTTATAAAAAGCCTTTGCTACTTTAAGCCTTACGATCTCATGACTTCAAAGCCCTGCGTATTTGTGAGCTATTATTGGATTCTATGTTCTTAGGGCCCTTCCAGATGATAATGTAGGTTATGCCAGCCCTTCTAGATCTTAAAGAATCACACAATCTGAAATTAGGAAGGAAACTTCAGAATCTCTTTAGTCAAACTCATATCTGATGAAGAAACCCCTTCTGTAATGACAATAACAACGGTATTCAGCACTTTGCTTGAAGCCCTCCAGTAAGGAATAGTTTATTACTTGCCGAGGCACTCCATTCCACTTTGGGGAAGTTTTGTTTTAGGTCAATCCTAAATCTGACTTTTCAACTTCACCCTTTTTCACCTGTTCTGCCTTCTGGGGCCAAACAGGGCAGCCCTCTCTTTTACGTGGCAAGTCTTCAAATATTTATTACAGCTGTCATGCCCCCATAAATATTCTTTTCTACAGGCTGAACATCTCAGTTCCTTTGCATGTTCCTCATATGATATGATTGTGATACTGAAATTTAGTTGATCTTGTCAGTCTCTTCCTTTTCAGGATATTTACAGGTTCTTCATGTCATAGCCACTCACCATGAATGCCCCTCAAGGTTCTGTTTTGGGCCCTTTTCTCTTTTCCTTTTGTAGTAGGAGATCATAGCTTTTCTTGTGTCATGGACCCTTTCCATAGTCTAGTAAAGCCTATGATTCCTTTATTCATAAAATGCATAAAATAAATCACAAAGGATTAAATTAATTACAATTACATTAAAATACAGTTATCAAAATATTTTAATAATAAGCTCATGGTACCTCAGTTCTATACTGTCTTATTTGGTGTGAGTTCAATTATCTCTATGCAGATGATTCCCAGATCTCCACCCCTAGTCTCTTTCCTGAGCTTCAGTGATGCTATCTGGATACCTTGAACTATATGTCCCATAGGCATCTCAAACTCAACATATCCAAAACAGAACTCATCATCTTTCCCCATGCACCTTTCCTTTTTCCTAAACTTTACTGCTACTGTCGAAGGTATTGCCATCCTCTCAGTCATTTAGGCCCACAACCTCAGTGTTATTCTTGATTCCTCAGTTTTACTACACTTTCAGTCTTTTAAGAAATCTTATAATTGCTACTTTTACAATATCACTTGTATACATCCTTTTCTTTCCTTTAACACAGCCACAACTCTAGTTCAGGCACTCATTTTTCACTGACTTATTACATTAGCTTTCTAACTGGCCTTCCAGGCTTTCCAGGCTCCAATTTATCCCCCACTTGGCTACGAAGATGATTTTTTTAAGTGTAGTTCTGATCATGTCAATCTCCTCTGCTCAGCAAGCTCCAGTAGCTCCCCATTACTACCTGGATGATATGTAAAGTCCTTTGGCATTTAAAACCCCCTTCCTAACTTTCCAGTCTTCTAAAACCTGACTCTATTCTTTACAGTGTACAATCCAGTTACACTCACCTTTGTGCTGTCCCTTACATAGGATACCTCTTGTCTCTTTGCTTTTCCGCTAACTATCCCCATGCCTGGAATGTTCTTCCCTTTCCCCTTCCCTTCTTAATTTTTCTGGCTTTCTTCAAACTCAACTCAAATCTCACCTTCTGCAGGAGACTTTTTCCAGGGCACCCCCCCCCCCACCCCCCAGCTGCTAGCACCTGACTCTTGACCATTCTTTGGAAACTCCATCTTGTCAGTGTTCTTCCTAAAATATGGCAACCAGAACTGAATGTAATGTTCCAAATATCTTGACCACAGTAGAGTACAGAGTACAGTGCTATAATTTTTGTAGTCCTGGGCACTAAACATCTTTTTAAAAATATATTTTATTTTTTTCCCAATTACATGTTAAAACAATTTTTAAAACTTTTTTTTAAAGTTTAGAGTTCCAAATTCTATCCCTCCCTCCCTTCCCTCCACTCTTCCTGAGATGGTAAGCAATCCAATATAGGTTATATATGTACAATCATATAAAAAACATTCCCATATTAATCATTTTGTTAAAGAAGACGCAAATTAGAAAAAAAGAAAGTGAAAAATAGCTTGCTTTGGTCTGTATTCAGATAGTATCAATTTTTTCTCTGGAGACGGATAGCATACTTTATGAGTCCTTTCAGATTGTATTGGATCCTTGTATTGCTGAGAATCGCTAAGTCATTCTCTGTTTTTCATCATACAGTATTGCTGTTACTATGTGCAACATTTTCCTGGTTTTGCTCACTTCATTTTGTATCAATTCACGTAAGTCTTCCTAGGTTTTTCTGAAATCATCATGCTTCTCACTAAACATCTCTTAATGATGCCTAAGATTGCATTCTTTTTTTGACTGACCTGTCACAATGTTGATTCTTATTGGACTGATAATCAACTAAAATCCCCTGATGAATTAATAATCTTGAGATAAACTGTTGTCTAGCCTAGCCTTACCTATCCTGTACTTGTGAAGTTGTTTTTTTTGAACCTATGTAAAAATTTACATTTATCCCTATTAAATTGGACCCAATGTTCTAGCCTATAAGAACTTTCAGTCCTGTCATTTAGTATGTTAGCTATGCCTTTCACATTTGTGTCATGCAAATTTGATAATCATATATCATATTTGATGTCATCTAGATTATTGTAGAAAATATTAAAACAGTTCATGGCTAAGCACACCTGGGACATTAACTAGAGATCTCTTTCTGAGCTGATGTTGAACCCTTAATGACTACTCGTTGGGTCTGAGGTTAGTAGCCTATGTGATTTTGTCAAATGCTTTTTTGAAATCTATGTAAACTGTCTATAGCATTCCCCTGATTTAGTGTCTGGTAACTGTCGAAAAAGGAAATGTGACTAGCTGGGCATAACCTGCTCCTGATAAAACATGTGGGCATTGTGGGTGCCACTTTTTCTAGATGGTCACTAACTGTCCCTTTAACAATACATTCTAGAATTTTGCCAGGTTTGAAGTCAAGCTCACTGGTCTATAGTTTACAGACTATTCCCAGTTAGGGAAATTGGAACAAATTTGCTCTTCTTCATCTTGTGATACCTCTCATTCACGATCTTTCATAGGTCCATTAGAGACTTAATAATCATATTTGCCAATATTTTGAATTACTAATTCATGGAATCTAAGGACTTGAAGTCATCAAGGGTAGGTAGCAGTTCCTTTATTACTTCTCCCTTTTTAATCAACTGTTTGCTTTTTGAATAAGACCCAGATCAATACTGCAGTCATGGGTCTCATCCTACTAATTCGATGGGGATCAAATTTGCCTCCTTGCATTAATATCTTTAGTTGTTTTATGCTTTTTACATTTATACTTTTATACATTTATGTATCTGAAGCCATAGGCTTTATTATTTGATCTTTTCTTGGATTTTTTTTTTCTCCTATGAATTTTATTGTGTGGTTAGTTTGTTTATTTGCTCTTCCTATACTTTAGAAACTTGGAAAATATATTTTCCAGTTTAAAAAATATACACAGACAACTTTTCTCTCTCATCTTTTTAGTTTTATTTCCTTTATGTTAGATTTGTAAGAGTCCAGGAAAACACATTATTACCAGCTTTTGTTAGTTGCGTTCCATCCGTGGAATGGGCATTCTTTTGCCCAGAAATCTGTCATTTTTTATATTTTATTCTGTGGTCTAGAAATCCAAATCTTTTTCTCAGATACTTCCTTCTTCTTCTTCTTCTCCTTTTTTTGGTAAGGAAAACACTATTTTAATATTTTTTCCCCAGTTACATGTAAAAACAATTTTAACATTCTTTTTTCAAATTTTGAGTTCCAAATTCTCTCTCCCCCTCTCTTCCCCCCTCATTGTGAAGGCAAGCAATTTGACATAGGTTATACATCTGTAGTCATGCATTTTCATGTAAATCATGCTGTGAAAGAAAACATAGACCATAAAAAAAAATAAAGAAAATTTTGATCTGCATTGAGACTCAATCAGTTCTTTCTCTGGAGATGGATAGCATTTTTCATTATATCCTTCAGAATTGTCTTGGATCATTGTATTGCTGAGAGTAGTTAAGTTATTCACAGTTGATCATCATGTAATATTATTGTTACTGTATGCAATGTTCTCCAGGTTTTGCTCACTTCATTTTACATCAGTTCATGTAAGCCCTTTCAGGTTTTTCTGAGAGCATCCTACTTGTCATTTCTTATAGCACAATAGTATTCCATCACAATCATGTGCAACAGCTTATTCAGTCATTCCCCAATTGATGACACCTCTGATATCATCTTCTTAAGAAATAGTTCATTTCCCAAATCTGCCTTTCTCTTTTGAAGTCTTTATCTTCCACTGGCTACAAGGATAAAAACACGTGGGTGGCCTCTAAGCTTTCTTTACTCAAAAAAGTATTAGTAAATCACATTTGTTTAGCATTTTAAGGCTTGCAAAGATTTTTCCTCATAACAACTCAATGCAAGTAGGTTTATTCCCATTTAATAGGTGAGAACACTGAGGCCATGAGAGATTTCAACACCTAGTAAGTGTTAGAAGTAGGTTTTGAAACTTGAGTTTTCCAAATTCCAGGGCCAGCATTGTATCCATTATGCCACACACATTACCTCTTTCTTAGTAAATGTTTGATGATACTAAAGTAAGTTTCTGATATGAATATAAGAGAACTGTTATTCTGGGGAAAGACAACTAGCAGAATAACTGAGTGTCTAAAGAGGTTGTAGGGTAATTTGGAGTTGGAGGAGGAGAGTAGGGCAAATTCAAGTATTGCTGCTTTAGTAGGATGAATTTTTTTTCTCTAGAAGTAAAAATTATCCAGTATGAAGTGCCATGGATGGAAGTATTTTGAGCATCACACTATCCTTTGTCTCCACAGCTGGAAGAATAGTAGAGTCTCGGTATTTACAGTGTGAGAAGAAGAAAGTTGTCAAGGTGATAACATTATCTGTTTTTGTAATTCTTGTTCAAAATGTTACTAATAGATATCCTGGTAGCAGATTCTATGGAATGAACTCTAATTAATGGGAATTTCAACATTGACTTTATCTTGAAATGAGATCTTAAAGGGAGGCAATTTGATTTGATATAAGATTTGATTTGATTTGATATAAGAATACTTCCTAACAGAGCTGTCTGAGAATGTTCCCATCATTTGAAGTGTTTAAATAGAATCAGAGAAGACATTTCCTTTTTAAGCAGAAGTTTGGACCATCTAACTCTGAGATTGTGTTATTCTCGCTAAGAGAACCTTACGTTTTCTACCAAATTTCATTCTTCACTTAAATGTTTTTGATGTTTATTGTTATAGTTGACCCTTTTATAGCTTCTTAAAAGAGACAGACTTAATTTTTAATCTCTTAGTTTACTTCCCAACTGGTCTCATATTGAAATAGGTTGGTCCACCTTGTATTGATAGTTAGAGTAGGATTCTACTTATGAAATTTTGGAATTAAACCTTTGTGTGGAGGTAGTTTTAGTTCTTTTATTTTTTAAAACGGAACATTGAAATTAAGTATTGAAATGGTAATGGCTAAGGGAACAAGTCAGATTTTATCAGAGATATCAATCAAGTGCAACAATTAGAATTTTGGAAAAGAATCTTTGTTGCTGTGAAAATATTTTCATTATTTTAAACTGTTCAAAGGACATTATATTACTTTTGATTAGATTAATTCAATTGATACTAGCAGTGATTTTATCATCCTTGTTTTAAGGGCTTCACATGAAGCTCTAGAAGGGCTGTACGTGGATTGGTCACTGTTTTAGAGGATTCAGTGTGTCAGGATTAAATTTGAGAATGACTTGCATATCCTAGGTAATCAATAAATGTTTGAATAATTGAAAAAAAAAAAACATTGCTTCAGCAAGAAGAGAAAAAGATAACTCCATTAATATATTTCTGTACTTTAAGGATGGTACCTTAATAACTTCTAAATCTTTTTTTTTCCTTATTGACAGGCACTTGCATCTGATACTTCAATCAACAGTTCCAGTGGGAAACAGACTGAAAGTGGAAAAAAATCTACTGTGTCTCAGAAGGGTAGCACAGGTAGTTTATAACATTGGGGGGAAGTTTTTAAGTCACCCAGTGGTGCCAAATAAAATTCCTAAATTCATATTTTAAGGTGTAAATAAGTCTGGGTGGCAAATTTTGCTTTCCAATACAAGTCTAAGCACTGTTGCCTTTGTGGCCCCTCCTTTTCCCACAAAACCCCAAACATATCCTTGTTTCTTTTCATATCTGTTCATTCTTCCTCATGCAGGCCATGATACTGCACACTTCCAGGCCTCCCTTACCCCTAAATGCCTTCCTTCCTATCTTCTGCCAAGTTGAATCCTAACTGTCTGTACATTTCTTCTGTCAAACTTTTTTTTTTGGCAACTAATTTAGCTCATACCAAACCCGTCTCCTTAAATTCTTAATGCACTTAGTACCACACTTTGTTCTCTGTGTATACTAGTTTCCTCTCCAACTATTATTGTAAGCTCCTAAAAGGCAGGAACTATGGATGTCTTTTCTCTGTTTTTTACACTTTGAAGTTTACTGCTACGATTTATTTCTCAAGTCCTCTGCCTCATCATTGGAAGTTTGTGTGGCAGGGCAACACTCAGCATTAATTCAGGAAAGTTACCCAACTGTTTTCTTTTAAGCGTAGGTTGGTATCACTAAATTGAACCCATAAATACTCTTAAGCCATCACCAAGTTCTTTGAGGGTGGTGATGCTATCTTATTTCTTCATGTTACCCCCAGCACATAGAACAATCAAATATCTATTAAAATAAGGCTTGGATCTGTAAGGCCTGGGTCTCTCTTTCCAGGTATATCTTTCCCCTGTCCTTCAAGGCTGTCTGATATTGTGGTGGAGCATAAGAGGAATTAAGGTGACAAGCAAGACTGTATTTCAGTGACTTCTGGTTTCTAAACTTCTGCAACTGAAGTTCATTAGTTAGAACTTCATATATTTCGGCAGTTTTTAAAAAGTATGATCTCAAATTTAAATTTTAGTTTTAAAATCAGTGGTATGGTTTTTAATGTATTTGCTCACTAAAGGGACATTTAATAATTTTTGTTATATTGAAATATGTCAAGAGCAGCAGTTATAATTTTATTCAACCTTATACAGTTTTTAAGAAGTGTTATTTAAGTTATTTAAGAAATGTTATTCTTTTTTTTTTGGGTGTGGCTATTGGGGTTAAGTGACTTGCCCAGAATCACACAGCTAGTAAGTGTTATGTGTCTGAGTTCGGATTTGAACTCGGGTCCTCCTGACTCCAAGGCTGGTAAACTCTATCCACTGTGCCACCTAGCTGCCTTAAGAAATATTATTCTTAAAACTCTTCTAAATTCTATTAGGAAAAAAATGGTTAAAAGGTTAATGATTATTATGGTTGTTATCTTTAGTTCAGATTTATGGTTCAAAAGAGCTGTATTTCTTTGTGCTTTATGAATGTTTCTTTCCAATCTCCAGTAAAATTGAAGGGGATAGTCCTCTAGGAAGCTTTCTCTAACCCTCACTCTACTATGATTACTCTTCATGAACAGTGTTGGGGAGGCAAGTGATGTAGTGAAAAGATCTGGGTGACCTTTATGACCTTGGGCTTGTCACCTCTACACCTTATCTCCTTCCATGAAGATGAGTGAGATTGGATTAGATGGTCTCCAAAGTCCTTTCCAACTCTTAAGCCCTATGAATCTATTAAGTAGAAGACTACAACCCATTTGAGGCAGGGGAAGTGAAATGAGAAGCTTGAGACACTTAGTGTAGTGGGAAAGAGGGCAAGACTTGGAGGTAGGGAGACCTGAATTCAAGTGTTGTCTTATATAATAGCTGTGTGATCCTGGGCAAGTTACTTCTTCTCTTTGTAATTCAGTTTCCTCATCTGTAAAAGGGGGGTAATTAGACTAAGTCCCTTTGAGCTCTAACTCAGTGTCCCCATGAGAAAAGGTGCAGAAATGAGAATATTTTCATCGATGTTTACATAAGACAGAAAGACTGCTCTTCAGGAGCTTACTGCCTAAGAATTACTAATCTGACCCACTAGTACACATTCAGGCATTTTCCACATGTCTTTAATATGTGGTTTTCCAAAATTAAAACAGTATTGAGTAAAAATTAGTATGGTCAAGATGACAGTAGGGAAAAGGGAAGTGAAAATGAGATTGATAAGGGGCAACTTCCAGAGAACATTTTAGCTAAATAGGAAGGCAGGAACTACATACAGTAAAGGATAAAAATAGAATGAGGGGAGAAAAAAATTGTTTGCATATGAGAACTGAAGAGATATATTAGAAATTCCTAAATCTTAGAGAACTTCCCTTAAACTAAATAATATAAAGGGGTCATGGTAGGATTGGACTAGGTTTAGTTGCAATTTTTCAGAAAATTTCTGTTCCACTTGAAAATCTAAAAAGACCATTGCCGAGAATTTTACTGGGCCAAGTAGATATTTACGAAGTCCAGGAATGTAGGAAAAACCGAGGTGGTGTTTTTGTGGCCAGTTTTGCGTGTTTATTTTTGAATAAAGTTACATTAGACTTCCTTACCTAAATGAAGTTTTTCCTCATTGACATTTTGTGAGCTAATTTCAGGTGTTTCTGCTGGATCATTAGCTACTAATCAAACTGAAAAGGGTGATCTACAGTCAACTCTGTTAGAAGGACATAGAACTGCACCTCCTGATCTGGATCTTTCTGCTATTAATGGTCAGTAAGTCTCTTCAGAGCTACTTTATTGCCTTAGTTTGGAATAAAATATGCATTCTCTACATTTTGTTAAAATACTATTCTTTCTTTGATTTAGATAAAAGTATCAAGAAAAGGACTCCACAATTAACCAATAAAGCTAATACAGCACAAAATTCTAAAACACCAAAAAAACACAACAAAGTAAGTGTTTTGAAAAAAAAAATTCTCTAAGGGAAGGGGGTCTTAACCTTGGGTCCATGAATTTGGATGGGGAAAAATTTCAATCCTTATTTTCTGTGTTCTTTAACTGAACTTTAGCATTTCCTTAAACACAGTAAAAAAGATGAGTGATGAGTTAAAAGACATTATTCTGAGAAAAATCTGTAGACTTCACCAGATTGCTAAAATTATTCAAGACACAAAAAAAGGTTTCAATCCCCTGCTATCCTGCTATGAGGAGATCAAGTATCTTTGTCACTAATTCAACAAACATTCGAGTATCAGTGTGTGTTTAGGACTGTGCTGGACACTGAATAATATAAGAAAATTATTCATGTTCTCAAAGAACTGGGGAGACGTACATATGAAAGAGAACATTTAGGACAGAGTTCAAGATGCAGTGTTATCCCAGTGAGCTGTGCAACTACAAAACATGAAGCACTCTGAACACAAGGTAACCCATGGGGCAACGGAGAGCAGAGTGGCTGGTGCAGTTTGGCCATAGCACAGAAGGAACCAGAACCTGCCCTTTGGAGCAAAGACATTAGACCAGAAACACAGTGGGCAGAGCCCCTGAGGTTGTTGCCCCTTAGTTATTCAGAGGAATCAGGTGAAGACCTTCAGCCAATTAAATGAACCTTCCAGTGCAATGGGAAACCTTTTGTTGAACACTGTGCTAAGGGCTGAGGATACAGACAGAATCGAGGACTTCCTTTCTCATAAGGAAGTCACATTCCAGAGGGACAGACAGTATATACAGCAGGACTTGTGTTTGGCCCATGTTAGAGAGATCTACTGCATAGTAGCTGCCACTGGGTTCTGGCAGGGGAAGGGCCCAGTATGCACGGAGGCCTCTAAGGAGGGCTCACAGACTGGCAGAGATATGCAAAATCATCAGCCTCACTCTGTCCTCTAGAGTCATTGGAATCCAGTGACAAGACATAGGTCAGATTGGCAATGGCCCCCGATGTATTGGGAGACCTTGGCCTTTTTAAGCTGTCTTCCCCAGGTTTCAGTTCATCTGAGGCACCGCCCATTCAGTAATTAAAGACTAGGTAAGAATGGAGGCAAAGTATGGCCTAGTTTACCTTCACAGAAGAATCAGTCTGGGAGGGGAAGACCCTCAGAGTTTCTGGCCAGAACAGGAACAATTTTTATTTACACTCACTCTCCTCAGGTGAATGACTGTAAATAGTGCAGGGATTAGAGATGGGAGACACCTGATGGGGAAGGAGAAGTAGGACTCGAGGACTGTGCAGGATCAGCAGGGTTTTTACAGGGATCAAGGATAGGTGTTTCATTTTCATCTTTAAGTAATAATAGTATCTGTTATTTATGTAGTAACTGAGACTTACAAAGCACCTTACACATACGTTGTTGTTTGGTCCTCCCAGTAACCCTGAAAGACAGCAGCTTCAGTGACATCTGTTTTGTATTTGAAGGAGCTGAGGCTGAGAGAGGTGAAGTGACTTGCCCCAGGTCACGTCTCATAAGTGGCAAAGTTGAGGCTTGAGCCCTAGTCCTTCAGTGTTTTTCCCATTGAAAACTGCTACCTGATCTAGTGGAAGGAGTACTAAAATGATAAAACTGGGGATTTAAAAAAAGATTAGATTAGAATTGGTACAGCCCCATTTATTTTCCAATGTTCAAATATTTGTGTAAGAATTCAGATTAATCAAGCTTAAGCAGAAAAACAAAAGAAGTTAAGAGTCCATATTCCTATAGGGAAGCCCAGAAATTTTGTGCCTAGACCAGGGGTGGGCAAACTGCTACCTTCAGACCACATGTGGCCTGAGGGCCTCAGGTCCTGTCCGTCACCCCCCCCCCCATATAATGTACAAATATATCGAATTCTTATGTCTTTATGCCTCTTTCAGGATCCATGATTTCATCCATGAGGATACTGTACAAATACAGGCTATAAACCCCTTCATACTGTAGTTGGTTTTGTGAGTTGCTGTGTCCAAAAAAAAAATTCATAGTCCAGTGACCAGGCTTCTGGAAAAGGTCCTCTTTAAACCTAACTAGGTTAATCTTCTGACAGTAGGTGAACTGTTCCTCCCCAGGCCTGTACTCGAGCTTTCCTAGCTTTGCTGGACCTGGCAGAATTTGCCCTTCACTAATATGTCTTTGGATATGTCAGCATCATTGCCACCTTTGTCAAAGTGAAAGATACTCACTGTACCTAAAAAATCTGGAGGCGAAAGCCAAGCCCAGCATTTTTATTTTGGTCAGAAATAAAAATAACAGCAGCTTGAGCTTTGTGATCCAATGCTTTAATTATAAAATCCAGAAACTCTTGAGTAGTCATCGTCTCCCTCATTTTTTTTCCTTTCTCCTCTCATCTTCTGCGTGTCAGCAACAACAGTTTGTAGACAAGGTGTGAGAAGGCATAAATGACTTTAAGACAAAAATGGCTGACTCCACTTTTGCCAACTTAATGTTAAAAAAAAAAAAACCTACTTTTCCTGAACCAAGTGCTGCATTTGGAATTATATAGGAATTTTATTAGGGAAATATGTAATTTAAGAAGTGAAATCTATAGTTAGTTCATGCCTATGATTTAAATGTTTATAAGCATAAATTCTCATGCTATCAAATAGATAGAAATAGCTTCCATCAAGCAAATACATTATTTAAAGAATTGCTGAACTTTTTAAGAAATAATTTTCAAGGGGCAGCTAGGTGGCGCAGGGGATAGAGCACCAGCTCTGAAGTCAGGAGGATCTGAGTTCAAATCCGGCCTCAGACCAGACACTTGACACTTACTAGCTGTGTGACCCTGGGCAAGTCACGTAACCCCAATTGCCTTTAAAAAAAAAAAAAGAATTTTCAAATTATTTGCTTGAGTTTGAGTACCGGTTTCTCAGACAGATACAATTATATTTGGTGCCCTACAGTAATGCATTTAGCCCATGATTTCCGTGTTCGTACTTGTCTCCCCAAACAAGTAACTTCAACCCTCAAGCCCTGCAAAACATTAGGAAAGCTGTTTCCCCTAGTCAGGATTCCTGACTCCAAACTACCGCTCAGAGACTTACACATTTTATTTAAAACAAACATTGATGTTGTTATTAGGGAGAGAGATAACTAGGGGATAAGGAGTAGAACTTAGTTCTTATTTTCTGTTTCATAGAATCTTAGGCCCATTGGATTTATCTAGCCAAGTCATCTTGATATCTCATTTTGTCATGGCTCTTGACTTATTCGTGCTTTTCTTTAATCTGTGGGATGGTAGCTGTGATTCTTTCTCATTGAATTAGGCTTCCACGAGTCAGACTGTGTATGTCTAGGGAATACATTCAACATGTATCACTGTCTTGCACTGAATTGCTGTTATAAGCTCGGAGATTTTCATAATCCTTCCAAGTGCGTTAGCCAATTCAAGTGGGCCACAGTGGAATCTCTTGGGTCCTTCAGGGTTAATAGGGTGCTTTTGACATAGAACCATTGTTCTGATGGTGAGCTAGACTTAGTCTTTTCCAGCAGGTATTTTTGAGAGACTCCCAGAGTTACCTGGTATATGCTTCTACAGAGGCAACATGGTGGAGTGGAAAGAATTCTGGACTTGCAGTCAGGAGAAACCTGGGTTTAAAGTCCTCCTCTGCTGCTTTCTGTGTGGCCTTTGGTAAATTATTTAACATTTTTTTGAGACTCAGTTTCCCTACCTTTAAAAATGAGGATACAAACATGCCAGGGCAGGATAGGGGTAGGCAGCCCTGGGAGTTTTCCTGCCTTTTGCACCCCCAGGACCTTGTTGCTGCTATTGCATTTCGCCAGGGGGTAATTCTAATTTGGCTGCCCTCTTGGCCTCCTCTCCCCACCCCTTTCCGTGCCCCATGGGGGTGGGATCAGCCAATGCTCTGTACAGTACTATGGGAACTGATGTGTATATAGCTATTTAATGTGGGGTATGTTCCACAACCTGTGTTCCCTGTCCCCATGTCCTTCTTCTCTTGCCGGTTGTGGCCAGTTTGTCTGTCTCTGGGGATGAGGGACTCATCCTGTGCTTGTAAATAAATGAAGTTGTGACTCTACCTTAAAAAAAAAAAAATGAGGATAATAATGCCTATATTTTGATCTTTACATGGGGTTGGTGTGAAAATCAAATGAGAAGATGTATATCATGTGCTATATGAATGACAGCTGTTATTTATTATTGATGCTAATTTCCCACTTCGTATTTGCTTTTTCTCTTCCCTAATAATAGTGGCTTGCAATTATATAGGCTTGAAGGTTTGCAAACCACTTTACATGCATTATCTTATTTGATCATCTTGACAACTATTTGAAGTAGATGCTATTATAATCTCTATTTACTGGTAAGATGACTGAAACTAGCTCTGAAAGGCAAATTGACTTGCCAAGGGTCACTCAGCTACTAAGTCTCATAGATAGAATTTTAATCCTACAGAGTATAGGTCTTTCTGATTCCCAGACTAGCACTCTCTTCACTATTGCACTTGTCTTCTCTTCACTGTAATAAATGCTTGCCATCTGAGGAATTCCTACTGACCACTGAATCCTAAAATCCTAGATTCTTGGTTTCTGGTATCATGATGTACTAACACAGGTGTCTTACCCTTCTGCATTGGGCTTGTAGCGTTGCTGCCCTCACTTCTGCATCCTTTCCCTGGCCTACCTTCTTTCACCAGAGAAGCCCTGTTCTCCACTTATTGACAGAATGCAATTCAAGGTGATATATTGATTTGCCAATTTCTTGCCTCAGTACCTGGAGGGAGACCCTTGTTCCCTTCCTAGTGGTGAAACAAAAGGGCCAGTTTCTACCACGTATAGTGCTACACTAACTTATTCTTACCCTGGCTTTGTGGGTGCTTAGTTCTTGTTCTCTTAAGTACCGTTTTCTAGAGTTTTTTATAAAGTCACCAGCATTTCTTTAGCATTCAGACAGCCTGCTTAACTGTCATATGTATGATAGTCAGATGGATCTGCGATCTCATTGACCTGGAAGTTCCCTCCAACAGTATAGGCTGCGATGCCTCTATGCTTCCCTATTCTGTGTACCTGTTGTCTATGTCCTTCTATAAATTCTTCAAGGAAGGCCATCCGGGGTGTTGGAAGCATAGCAGGGTCCCAGGCAAGTCCCCTGGCTCTGCACTCATCTCTTCTCTTGCCTCTCTACCAGCCCCCATCTTCTGTCCTACAGTTCTTTGATGACCTTGAATTCCTCATTGTTTATGTGTTTCAAGCTGCTCACCCACTGTGCACTTCATTGTTCTTGTTGTGGTGGCATTTTTATTTTGGTAGAGACCATTGTATTCAACGTAGAATAAAAATTTGCTTTCTAATAAATGATTTAGAACTACTCGGAAAAGAAAAGTTCCTTGAGGGGAGATTTTTTTGTTTTTTATCTTTGTTTCCTAAGCACCTAGCACAGTGTCTTGCACATAAGCTTTTTTTTAAATAGATTTTTATTGATACATTGTTTTTACATCACCTATATTTCTCTCCTGGGACCTTCTCTTTCCTCATAGAAAGCCATCCTGTATAACAAATAAGTTTTTGAAAAGTAAAGGAAGAAAAGGAGAGTAAGTTAGGAAAACCATTCAGTACCGTAACAGAGTCTGTTATAGACTTCAGAAAAACCTGGAAAGACTTGTATGGTCTGATGCTGAGTGAAGTGAGCAGAACCAGGAGAACATTGTACACAGTAACAGCCACGTTGTTCAATGACTAATATTGATAAACTTAACCCTTCTCAGCAGTATAAGGATCTAAGACAAGTCCTCATGATGGAAAATATTATCCACATCCAAAGAAAGAACTATGGAGTTTTAATGCAGATTAAAGCATGCTATTTGCTATTTTTTTTTCTTCTGTTGTGTTTTGTTTCCTCTTTCTGGTGGTTCCTCCTATTGGTTCTAATTCTTACTTACAACATCACTAATGTGAAAATGTTTAATAGGAATGTATATATATATAGCCTATATCAGATTGTACTCTGTCTTGAGAAGGGAGGTGGGGAGGGAGGAGGAGAAAAATTTAAAACTCAAAAGCATATGGAAGTGATTGTTGATAAATCAAAATAAATTAATAAAAAATACTTAAAAAAGAATCTGTTATATGTAATGTTCCACCCTTATGAACTCCTTCCACCTGTGCAAGGGGGAGCAGGGGGAGATAGTTTCTTATATTTCTTTGGAACCAAGCTTTAGACCTTATAATTTTAAAACATTCCATTTCTTTTGTATTGACATGGTTGAGATTAGTTCTATATCATTTTTTATTGATTCTATTTACAGTTAATTGATTTTGTCCTATAACTGCCTACGTCATGGGTTTTTTTTTGTCTCTGAACTTAGTGCGGAAATTTACCTGGCTTATAATGAGTTAAATTCAGAAATCCTGTTCTCCTTGCTAATCACTGTTCTATTCTTGGTTTAAGGAATTCTGCTAACCTTGGGAGATGTGGCTTGCCATAAGGGAGTTAGGCCTAATATCTTTACATCACCAGGCTATCCTTTAGGGATGTCTGGTTTGCTGTCCAAAGAAGCCTGTGCCATTTTATTACAGGAGGACTCAAACGATGAATACTACTTAGTCATGGGAGGGAAGGAAGGAGGATTGTTGCTAGCCCCTCATTACCATTCTTCCAACCATTGTTCCCCTTGCCTCAGTTATATAACCACTTATATTGTCCTCAATCCCATGGTGTCAGCTTCTCCTCTCTGTTCTTTATTCTGTATTCCCCAAAATCTATAAAAGAAAACTGTCCCCCTGATTTGGGGTCTTAGCTTTACTGAGGAAACTGAGATTCTATTTATTGGTAAATGTGTGTTTTACTGATAAATTGATCGTGCTTAGAACTTTGTGCCTTAGTTGTCCTTATTTGAACTGTTAACAGTATCATTCTTTGTTTTTATGTTGAGTCATTGTGGATATTCTTTTCCTGTGTCTGCTTTCACTTTGCATCAGTTCATGTAAGCCTTCTCATGTTTCTCGTTTCTTATAGTGTAGGATTTTCCATAACATTTATGTAGCCATTTTCCAATTAGTGGGTATCTGCTTTCTTTGCAGTTTTTTACTACTACAAAAAATATTGCTATAAATATTTTGATGTATATGGGACCTTTTTGTCATTGACTTCTTTGGGGAATATGCCTAGCTGTAGAATATCTGGGCCAGATTATGCACTTTCTCTGTATAATTCCAAATTGCTTTCCAGATTGGTTGTATCAGTTCACAGCTCCACCAACAATGCATCAATGTGCCTGTCTTTCCATAACCTCTCCAATATTGACTGTTCTCATTTTTTGGTCATCATTACCAGTTTACTCAATGTGAGGTCAGAGTTGTTTTGATTTGCATTTCTATTAATAGTTATATGGAACAACATTTATATGGTTAATAGTTTACAGATTTCTTTTGGGAATTCTTCCTGTCCTTATCCTTTGACTTATCTTTTGGGGAGCCTCTTGCACATGGGCTCTTAATGTTTAATGGAATTCAGTTATACTCAAACACTTTGGTTAGGTGATCAGTTACATATGTTACAGCAGGGGTCAGCAAAATATGGCCTCTGGACCAAATCTGGCTGCCACCTGGGTTTTTGTGTTTCAAAATTCCATTTTATTGTACTTAAAATTGTAAAGACCATCCATAGCTTGTGTACAAAAAACAGGCTGAGGGGGCCAGATTTGCTGACCCCTGTTTACAGCATATAGATCTTTTGTACAGATCTGGGACAAAGATGGAGAAAGTGCAAAGGGGATATTGCCCCTTTAACTCCAGCCTTTGCTGAGTTCATTTTTCATAGTCCTTTTCTACTTATTTTTCCTTCTACATTCTCCTACTTTCCCGTTTGCTCAAGTGACAGTCTCCTTATTGCCTCTTCATTCCAGGGACTTTGAACAGGCTGGAAGTATTTAGGTCCAAAGAGTACCCAGCATGTATCAGGTCCAAATGTTTTCCTAAGAAGGGGAAACTTTATATCGGGGATTAAGCTTGGAAGCTTTGTTTCCCGGGGTGGGGTGTGGGGGGACAGCCTCAGGTACAATTGTACACTTAATCTGAGACTTCTTTCCTAGTTTGTAAGATTTCCAGGGGGGTGCTGAGTAATTTTTTTTTTAAAGGGGGCGGTAGGCCAAATAAGTTTGGGAACCTCTGATTTACACCCTTTGTAACAAAGGCCCGGAGCAAAGACATAGGGCAAAGAGGCAAGATTGTAGGATTTAGAATTAGAAGGGACTTGAGAGATTATCTTGACCACCCCCCTTCATTTTGCAGATGAGGGAACTGAGGCCCAAAAGAGAAGAGGTCTGGTAACCTTAAAGGAGATGAGGACAGTTTATAATCCTACAAATCAATATATTTTTGAATGTGGAGTAGGAATGTCCAATCCTGGGAGGATACGTATGTGCATAAACTAATTTGGAATCAAACATACATTATGGATTTTTTATGGTTGTTTTTTAGGTTTCCACAGAAGATATAAAAATAATGGAGTCACAGACATTACTTCTAACACTTCTGGCAGTGAAGGTAAAAATGAAAGACAGTCAAATGTATTTATAGAACAAAGAATGAATGAAAAACATGAAGTGCTTTCTCTGTGCAGAGCACTGTGCTAAGCAAGACAGTTCCTGTTCTCTATATCTTATATTCTAATAGAAAGAGACAATATACTTCAGTTGGTAGTCAAATGGAAGTTCCTTGGTCCTGACAGTAAAGTGGCAAAGCAGATGATAATACATCTTCTTTAATATTATTTCCACTGGTAAAACCATACTGACGTCTTCTGTAGAGCCATTTAACAGTACCAAGGACGTTTGAGGTGAGAGATATCTTTGCAGGGTCTTCATTGTCATTGTTGGGGTAGCACAGGCTGCAGCTCCTGCAGAAGCAGTTGCCAGATCATCTCTGGAGTTGATTGCCTGCTTGTTGGTTGTCTGGTCTGGGCTAGAAGCAAGTCTCTGGTGGGTGGTCCTGCTATCTGTGAGGGGTACTGGGCTAAGGGTCTTGATCTGTACCTCTGAGAGAAGATTGTCAAGGTGGTGGTGTTTTTTAATAGTATTTTATTTTTTCCAATTACATGTAAAGACAATTTTTAACATTCATTTTTTATAAAATTCAGAGTTCCAAATTTTCTCCCCCCTCTAAGACGGTAAGCAATTTAATATAGGTTATGTATATGCAATCACATAAAACATTTCTGTATTAGTTATTTTGTGAAAGAAGAAATAGTTTGCAAAAAAAAGTAGTTTGCAAAAGGAAAAAAGGTAGTGGTGGTTTAATTCACTTGGCGTATCAGGACTTCTGTCTTTCTAGGGTGACTTGCATGCCCCGTGAGCAGCGGTTGTACTAGGGCTAGCTGGCCCCTTCTCCATGGGGGTTGATCCCCTGGATGAAGGCTCTGAGGACAAGTCAAGTCTTGGGGCAGGGGACTGGTATTCCCAAGGCTTTTGTGTATACCTGCCTATCCACGGCAGTTCAGCAGTTTTGTCAGTGGTGGTGAGGATTGTGGAGAAGGTCTTGTGGGTCCAGCTTATAGTGGTTCAGGCTGAAAGCAGGGTTGATGGTCTGGAGGGCATCGTACTTCCCCAGGCCCTTGGGCTTTCTTCATGAGTTTAAGGGGAGGGAGTGTTGAGGTGATGGAGGTAGTTGGACTCCCCTGGAACATCATCTCTTGTAGTAGAGTTTGAGGGAGTATGGTGTCAAGGATGGAGAACTGGCTCTGTGGGTGGCCCCACACTCTGTCTTTGACACATGCCAGCTGTGACCCCAGGCAAGGCACTGAATCATATCCCAGGCAACACCATAAGACTTAAGGTCAGACAAATTGCAGATCTCATAGGCCTTCTAGATTTAGAGTTAAAAAGAATTAGAGGGACCAGCCCACTCATTTTGTGGAGTGTAAGTGACTTACCCGTTAGATTATAAGCTCCTTAAGGGCAAGGACTATCTTTGTTTTTATTTGTATTTGTATCCAGTAGTCTATCAGCACAATGCCTAGCACTTAGTAGGAACTAACTAAATGTGTTTTGACTGACTTCCTTGCCTGAGGTCACACAGACTGAAACAGTCAGAGGTAGACTTTGAACCTAGGTCTTCTGTGTCCACGTCTGAAGATGCGTTATCCACATCTGTGCTGCCTCTTCCTCGGTAGAGGGAATACTTCCGCAGCAGCACCTTTAAGGGAATACTTTAGTAAAGAGTTAAGGTAAAGGTGCTGGAACTCTTTTGGATTTCACAGATGAAAAAACATGTTGCTGTAATGGAAGAAAAGGAAGAAAGAAATCTAATCATGTTATGTGAAGAAAAGGACAGACTTCAAAAAAAAGTGCAGAAATTGAAACGCAAGCTTCAGTTTCATAAGAAGGAGCAGGAAATGGCGGACGTCCTTGCTACTCAGGTTAGACTAACCCTAACTTGTGCTACCCTAATGTTAAAGAATGTTCATTTTTAGGTGAAAAGAACTAACAGGAAACTTTGGGGCTTCTCGCTAAGTGGCAACATTTATAATGGCGTACTAAACAATCCAAAGGTCTCATTTCATATGCTAGATCATTTTCTGTTTGCACACTTCTGCCTTCTGGCTCTGGTTAGTTAAAGTGCACACGTAATAGAGAGTTTTTAGGAAGAGGAAGTAGTGTGAAACCCCAGGAACCTGTCCCTTTTTTTGGTGCAAAACTTATTTACAGTGAATTTCCTAATCATTAAGACTTACCAATAGTAGCAGTTTCCCCCAAGTATAATAATATAGTGGTATGGTTGGTATTTTAGAGTGGCAGACTAGGAGATACTAGATTATCAATTACAATTTTTAGTTTATAGTAATGCCTTTTCTTTTGTCCTTGCAGAGTGAATTGCTTGCTCCCTTTGTGGCAATGTCTGAGGATTTTAAGAAGGATTATAAAACTTTTGCAACTGCACTGGACTCTACCAGGCATGAACTCCCTGTGAAATCCATTCATATGGAAGGAGATCAGGACCAGTTTTTAGGTATGGATGTCATGGGCATTCTGCTTAGTGTATTACAGAACCATTATGCAAATATCTTCCATGGGGCTTAACAGAGAAAACATTGGACTTGGAGTCAGGAGACCTATATTTTAATCCTGGTAGAGCTATTTACTATCTGTTTGACTATGGACAAGGCAGTCCATATCTCTGAACCTCAGTTGACTCATGTCCAAAATGGAGATAATACTATTTAGCAGGCAGGTAGGTAGTACAGTGGATAGAACACTGGCCTGGAGTCAAGAAGACCTGAGTTTAAGGGGGAAAAAAAAGAAAGCCTGACTTCAAATCCAGCCTCAGATACTTACTAAGCTGTGTGACTCTAGGCAAGTCACTTAACATCTGTTTGCCTCAGTTTCCACAACTGTAAAATGGAGATAATAACAGCACCTATATCATAGGGTAGTTGTGAGAATCAAATGAGATCATATTTGTAAAGTTCTCAGCATGGTACCTGGCACCTGGAACATAATGGATACTTGCTAAATGCTTAGCCCCTTCCCCACCCTCTTTGAACTGTCAGCATAGTATGACTATAGGGATAGCGCTTTGTCTACTGTAAAATGTGATACAAGTGTGAGTTGCTTCGTTGATGAACCTTTTTTTAGACTTAAAAATATTCTGGAGATCTGATAATTAAAAGCAGGTTTTTAATGTTATTTTTCCTTTGTAGATGAGTTACAACACCAGCTGTCTATCACACAAAGCTTGTTGGCAGAAGTTACAACTGAACACTTCGAAGAGAATGCTAAAGTGTTTGATGTGTTGGGTGAATTTAAAGAAGTGATACGGAAAAAGGATCTAGAACTCAAAAGGTACGTCCTCCCAAAAGCTTGCTAAAGAATATTGTAACGCTTCAGTTGTTCCGAAATCAGACTTCTGTCAGCTTCAAAACGTGAGACCCAACTGTGCTGGCAGAGTTAGTGGAAAAAAGGCCTTTTGCCAAAGTGTGTTGAAAAGTACATGTCATTTACTTTAAGATACTTTTGAACCTCTTGACCTGCATTGCTTTGTACACAGTCATAAAAGGCTTGATAATCTGGTTTCTGACTCCATAACAGAACAGAGATTCAAGGTGTCTCCTGGAGACAGGTACGCAGATCAAATGAAATAAATGTAAAGTGTGTGTGTGTGTGTGTGTGTGTGTGTGTGTGTGTGTGTGTATAAATAAATTTGTATGTAATACATTCACTATCATCATTATTACCCTGACAGCTGAACCCAAAATACGGACATAGTAGGCACTTAATAAGTGCTAATTGTCTGAATTAGAAGAATTGTTAAAAAATAAACGTATCAACTACAAAAGCAGTTTGAAGCCATTTGGTCTAGAAGCAAACAGCCTTATATGCCTAAATTGTCACTTGAGATTATGTTTATTAAAGTACAATAAGAGTTTCTAATGATGTCCTTTAATCATTGGGAAAAGTTGAAATCATGTTTTGCGTACTCTAAGAAGGCAGTCAAGTGTCATACTTTTTTGCAGGATTTCTATATAAAATGTATCAAATGTAGTTTGTATATTAAAAGAAATATGGTTTATTCATCTAGAAGATTTCTATTAAATAAGATGCCCTGTAATTTTTTTTTTTTGCTAGCATTATGGCAAAATGAGCTGTATTCATCGTGGCTTTGTATTTGGGTTTTGCTTTTATGATGAAAATAAGGCAAGATGAATGTTAATTAGAATCAAATGATAATTTAGTTAGGAATAAAGTCCGTCGTTGTTGCTCAATCATTTCAGTCATGTCTGACTCCATGACCCCACTTCGGGTTTTCTTGGCAGAGATGCTGGAGTGGTTTGCCATTTCCTTCTCCAGCTCATTTTACAGGTGAGGAAACTGAGGCAAACAGGGTGAAGTGACTTGCCCAGGGTCACGCAGCTAGTGAGACTGAACTCAGGAAGATGAGTCTTCCTGGAAGCCAGGAGCTGGAGCTAAAGCAGGAGCTAGTTGCAGCCCCAGGCTTTGTGTCTCTGTCTCTGTCTCTTAATCTCCCCCTGTCTTTCTGTTTGTGTCTCTGTCTCTGCTTGCCTGCCCATCTCTCTCTCTCTCTGTTTCTGTCTTCCTATCTCCTCTCTGAAATCTCCATTTGGTCATGAAGTACCAGCCCTTCTACTTCTGGGATGTCCTTCGGATCCTCCCTTCCATCCCCTTTGCCATTCTTCACATGTTGCTAACCTCCTGTTTTTTGCATGTGAGGAAGCCAGAGACCCAGAAGGGAATGTGACTCTCCCATGGCAGCTGGCTCACATCCTCAGCTGGGGTTCGAGGCCTTCTCTTCCTGCCCTCTCCCTGGATCTCCATGCTGTTCCACAGCTCCACAGAGCCACAGGACCTGCCTCTGCTGCCCCAGTTACACACCAGGGCCTCCTTCTGTTCCTTCTTCTGAATCAGCATAAGTGCATAGTGAATCCCTTTTATTGTGCTAAATGTGGTGTGACCTACACAGATACAGTTCAGCAGTGATACTTATTTAGTGCTGGCTAACTGTGTGCAAGGCCCTGGGGTTAGCTTTGGAGACGTGAAGACAGAGAATGAGATAAAGACCTTTACATTCTCCTTGTACAGGCTCTTACAGCCAAGTTGGGAAGTTGGAACATAAAAACGGAGGGAAAAACCCTTAGAAGTGAAACTCAAGCCAGAGAACCTGCTAGTTCTAGGGGAGGGGGAGGGAACCTGTGGCCTCAAGGTTCCCCACCCCGGGTCTAGGGCAGTAGGAATCTAATTCCAAGCTCCAAGTGTGATTTTAACTTTCTGCCCAAGATGGCAGCTCTTAGCACTTGTGGAAGCTGCCCTGCTTTCGTTGTCCTTCAGGGAGACGCTTGTGGTTTGGGGTACATTGCCCAGGATCCAGTATCCCCTGTACCCAGAGGAGGAGAGAAGCCTGCTGTGGCTACAACACTCCATTTTCCTCAGTCATAAAGTGAGGTGGCTTATTAAGTGATTTCCTTTAGGTAAAAAGGAACCTAAGGGTTCCTTTCAGCTCGAAAATCCAGCAATCCCAAGAAACTCCGAATGGCCCTCTAGCAGGAGTTAGTGGTATGACCTGGAATGAAAAGCACACTGGACTCACAATATGTGGGTTCTGATCCCAGCTCTCCTACGTAGACCTGGGGAGGTTGGTAGGACAGGTGAATATTATCCAAGTTTTATAGATTGAGAAACTAAGGCTCCCAGAGGTAAGATGATTAGCTTATACTTACATGGCTAGTAAGTGGTAAAACAGATTCAAACCTCAGTCTTTTGGCTCCAAGTGATCCCTTAATAGAAGAGTGTTCCAATCTTATTTCGCTTTGATTTGTTGTATTCTGTTTTCGTTGTCTTGCGAATAGAAGTTTTGATTCCATTTCTTGATAAGGTTATTCTAGAGTATTATCCTCCATTCTATAAATTTCTTATTTTTGAACCTCTAACAACTACATTTACTATAGAAAATATAAATGAACAAAAAGCACGGTATAATGGCCATAGAGTACATACTGGTCTTGGAGTCAAGAAGACTTGAGTCCAGATCCTCCCCTGACATTTTTCTGGCTATGTGATGCTGGACAAATCACTTTGTGTAGCTCATTAGAATTTATTAAGTAACATGTCAGTTCTACTACTGATGAAATCACGGAACAGATAGAGGGGTTGTTGTAATCATCAGGTGCGGAAGAGCAAAAAGATCAAGAATGAAAGAAAAAATACATATTCAGCAAGGAACAGATACACATTTTGGAATCACTTCTTTTTTCAGGGCCTCCTTATGCTATACACTATGATCTCTCTTATTTGGGTAGGGTGGGAGGGTATCTGTTTCATTGCATAATCAGGAAAGCACATATCCCTCAAAACCTAAAATCCCAGAGTTGGAAATATCCTCATGATATGTAAGCATGAATTTTCCATGCAATATCCCTGACAAGTGGTCATCTAGTCTTTGTTTGAATACAAACAGTATTATTGAATTACAAACAGTAATAGCAAGCTTACTATCTCATGAGATACTCTGTTTTACTGTTGGGCAATTCACAGTATTAGATAGTTCTTCCTTATATTGATTTTAAGTCTTACACCTTTTAACTGTCTTTAATTGGTCCTTAGTGCAGCTAGGTGACTCAATGGATAGAGCTCGGGCCTGGAGTCAGAAAGAGTGCAGATTTGGCCGTAGACACTTACTAGCTGTGTGATCCTGGACAAGTCACTTAACCCTGTTCGCTTCAGTTTCCTCATCTGTAAAATGATCTGGAGAAGGGAATGGCAAACCACTCTGGTATATTTGCCAAGAAAATCCCCAATAGGATTACAAAGAGTTGGACACAACTGAAACGACTGAACAACAATTGGTCCTTGTTATTTTCTCTAGAGCCAAGTGATGGCTTTCTATTTTTGAAGTTGGTGAACATGTTCACTTTAAATCTTCACTAGACTAAATGTTCCCAGTTTCTTTAACCAAACAGGCCTTTATATTTATACCATTTCTCTACTAATATTGACATTGCTGTGGTTATCCAACTCGTGTCATTGGACAAAGGAAATGCCAATTTTTTTCTGATTTGTTTGCAGGAGCTTTGTCCAGGTGCTTAACTTATCCTCTGAAGTCAGTAAAGAAGCTGCTTTAACTAACCAAGAAGTCTGGGAAGAGACTCAAGGCACACAGAACCTAAGCCAGTGGTATTTTAATCAAGAGCATTCAGAGGATACTCTAACAGGCAACTGAAGGCCTAATAGGTGCTTATATTTTTAGGTTTATCACATCAACAAATTGTCTCTGATGTATTTTTACTGGTTTGGTTTTCTTCCATTTTTTCTACCTTATGCATAAATGTTTGAGTACTATAGAGAACACATTTTTGTCTTTTTATGACATTCAGAATACTTAGCACTTTAAATTGACGTGTATTAAATGTTTTTGCATTCTATTATGTGAGAGATTTGGGATATCAAAAATAAAAGAGTCCTGACATAAAGTTTTGTGCATTTTCAAATGGGTACATTTAATTTTCAATATTTAGGCAATATAAAAAGACTAACTCATTTTTAAATTTGTAAGTAAGCCTGATGAAATGTCCTTTTTGTTGCATTGAAAGGAACCCCTATAGTTCTGTTTTTTTTCTTGAGCAGATCGCCTCAGGGCTTCAGCTTTTCTATCTGTAAAATAAGGGAGTTCAACTAGACCAGAGATTCTTAACCTTTTTTGTGGTTCATACTCCTTTGGCAGTCTGGTGAATAAGGTTTCAAATGGATAAAATAAGATATATAGGATTCCAAAGGAAACCAATTATATTGAAAATACTGTTAAAATATTTTTAAAAAGCAAATTCACAGGCCCCAGGTTAAGAATCCTTGAATGGAATAACTCTAAGAGCCCCTATGGTTCTCACATTCTGTTTTAATGGTTTTTACTGCTCAAATAGACTTGAGTCTATTCTTTAAACTATAACTTTTCCATGTGTGAACTAAATGTTTTTGGTAGTTTAATTTAACTGCTTTTACAGATTGCTGCCACTGGAGGGAGAACTTCACTCACCTTCTGATGGTGTTTAGCCCAGACATTCCTAGACTTATTTGGCCTACTACCCCCTTTTCAAAAAAAAAAAAAAATTACTCAGAGCCCCTCCTGGAAATTTACTTTCTCTAACCTTTTAATGTTTTTTTTTTAATTTGTGTCATTTCAAATGTATTTCTTTTTAAATGATGCATCTTAAATTTGATAATTTATTGTAAATTTGTGAGTTTTTTTTCCCTGCATTGAAATTTTGGTGATGCAATATTGCGTCATGTAACCATATGGTTATCGTATTGTAAACAAAGTCATTACATGCACATATTCTTGCTGATGCATGCTGGACTCCCCGACAACTCAATTGCCTGCCAACACTTGCATGTTAAAACCTGTAGATGGATTTGACCATTGATTGGTTATAACTTGCATTTTGTATGTTTATTTGAAAGACAATGTAATCACTACGACTTTAACTCTGTTACACAACAGATGAAACATGTACGAACTGTTTTTCAAATTTTCTTCTGTTCTTTCCTTATGCTTCCACTGTCCCCTTATTTTTATTCAATAATTGCACCCAAGTCTACTACTACCCCCCTGGATCATTCCAGCAACCCTGAGGGCGGTATCACCCACTTTGGGAATATATGAAATGCACAACCCAAAGATATGTATCTTAAACCAGAAAGGAGGAACCTGTGGTTTTAGTTTTAAAAATTTGAATTTCAAAAGAAACATTATTTCTTAGAATCACAAAATTTGGAGCTAGGAAGGGACCTAAGAAATTAACTGGTCACCTTCTTTTTACGGACAAGGAGACTGTGGAAGCCCTCCCAACAGAAATGACTTGACTAGAGTTATGTGGTAGTAAATGGCAGAAAGCCAGAAGGGGAACCCGGTTTCCTGAGTCTTAGTTAAGGCTCTTTATACTACATGTTTCCTTTTGGGGAAAGATATTAATATATATGTATATTTTTTATCATAAAGAAGTTTTTAACAAAGTGACTACCTAACTTTAAAGTGGCAAGTTAAGTCAACAAGCATTTACTATTTAAGCGCTTACAGTGTACCCTGTGTGAAGTGCTGGGGATTCAAAGAAAGGTAAAATTAGGCCCTGCCCTCAAGGAACTTATGTATCATGGTGTGCGGATAACCCTGATTCACAGAGGCAAAAGATAGGTTCTCACAGTCTTACCATGCCGGCGATTCTGGTCGTAGACTAAGGATGAGCCTACCAGGGAGGCTCCTGATCAGAAATTTGCCTATGAGGCAAGAGAGAAAACTGCATAGGTGTGGCCAAGCTGGATACCAAAGGGAGCAACAATCGTGCAGGAAGAGGAATGGCAGTAGAGCTATCCAAAAGCTCATAGGACAAATAGATTCCCCAAAGGAGCCATTCATAAAACCCATAGCCTGGGACATCTAAACATGTACACAAAGTGGAGGTAACAGGCAAGCTGAACTTGAAGGTTTAATGCAAGCATAGATACCAATTACTGAGAGTCAGTGGAATGAGACCCATGATTGGAAAAAATCTACTTTATTCAAAAGAAACATGGTTATAGATAGGAGGTGGTCCTTGAGCTGAGCCTTGAGGCAGAGGAAATACCAAATGCCACTCCTTCTCTCCACCACCTCCTACAGAAGACCTTTCCTGAACTCCCCAGTTTTTAGCACTCCCTTCCAAGCTTGTGTTGACTTATTAGGAGTCAGAGGATTATAAGATTCTGCATCTATGGCTGTAAGAGGTCTCAGAAGCAATCTAGCCCAACTCCCTTATTTTACAGATGAAGAAGGTGTGGTCCTAGAAAATAAATTGACTTGTACAAAGCCACACAGGTAATAAGGGTCAGAGGTAGAATTTAAACCCATTTCCTCTGACTCCAGAGCCAGTTCCATTTGCCCTGCACCATATTATGTAGCTGTCCCTCTCCCAGGAGAATATACGCTGCTTGAGAGCATGGACTGTTTGGCTCTTATCTTCATATCCCCAGCACCTAGCACAGTCGCTGCATAAGAGGTGCTCAATACATTTTTGCAGAATTAATTGGAGTTAACTCTTAAGGAAAGACGGGGACCAGAGGGGAAATTGTAGCATCTGGGTGAAGATCAGCAGGGGCAGAAAAAGAAAGAGTATTGGCTTTAAAGCATAATGCAGGTCACTTAGACTGGAAGAAGAAATAGATAAGGAGTTTGGAAAACATTACAAAGCCGACAAAAATAGGCAGGCTTATACAAAGTCACACATCCAACTGAAAGGTACAGATAATACCAGATTCCACCATGCTTTTTAGTGACATCAAAAGGCATTAGATTCAGTAGAGCACCATGCCACTGTGAAGACAATCCTCCAACAAAGTCACACGTGTTTGTTAAAGTTGCACAAGATTACTTGAAAAACACCAAGAGAACTAATTCTGTTAGCCATCCAGTTTTTAATATCAATTGAGGCATGAAACAGAAAGACATGTTCACCTACGATATTTGCCATTGTGATGGGGAATGTCCAGTGCAGACTACAAGTAAGAAGGATTCCCTGGTAGATCGTAATATTTCCCAGATGTCTTATTTGGGGGTGACATCATGCTTGAGCCCAAGATGATTTCTGATCCATTGATTGTGCATCAGAGGTGGCATAAAATGTGATCGAAGAGAGCATGACTGGGAAAGGAAGCTGACGTGTTGCAAGAGCATGGGATGACAGACAACATTCATTCCATTAGTTCCTTTGTAATGTCAAGAGATCTAGAGGAAGGCCCCCCAGCCCCCCGCCAGCCAGCACTTTGGAGGATTTATAGGAGGACAAGGTCAAGAATCAGAATGGAGAGGCTTGAAGCTGCCCCTTGAAGGGAGTAGCCACTTGGATGAGATCACAGATCCTTTGCAGTCTCAAATAGAAATGTAAAGCATTAGAAACAAGAAAAAATAAGTACAAAGGGTATGCTAAGTGGAGCAAAGAATTGTCATATGGAAATAATCAAGGAAAACTTTTAGAGGAGATGGGTTTTGAATCAGGTTTCAAAGAAAAAAAACACCTCTTGATCTTTCTATAGCAACCAGTTCCTGTCCCATCTCTCCTCCCCTTCACTGCCCAGCTTCTTTTTTAAAATTTAAAGACATTTCAAAAATTCATGTCTTTTCTTTTATATCACAATCATTTCCTAATATCTGTACATTTCTTCTCTCCCCAAACTACTCCTTTTTAACAAAAAGAATTGAGCAAAATCAACCAATTATGTGACTGTCCACATTTGGCTTCCATAGTCATTTAACCTCTCTCTGTATTCAATATTGGTCATTACATCTATTCTGAATTCAGTTATCTTTTAGTGTTACTTTTATTTACAATGTAGTCATAGTACAAACTGTGCTGGTACTCCTTATTTCATTTTGTATCATTTCATTCAAATCTTGCTGTGATTTTTTGGATTCCTCATATTTGATCTTTCTTATGGCACAATGATAGTATGTTATATTAATATATTCAGGAGGGGGAAGGGAAGAAAACAAGCATTTATTATGTGTCAGGTATGGTGTTAACTACTTTACAAATATATCATTTAATTCTCATAGCAGCCTTTAGAGATAGCTGCCATTATTTTCATCTCCATTTTACAGTTGATGAAGCTAAGGCAGATAGAGGTTGAGTAATTTGTGTAGGGTCACACAGCGAGGATCTGAGGCCGGATTTGAACTTAGGTCTTCCTGACTCCGGGCCCAGAGCTCTATCCACGGTGTCACCGAACTGCCACAAAAAGAAAGTATGGACAAGCTGGAGAGTTCTTTAAAATAACAAGTCAAATATGTTTTTAAAAACAAGTGGTATGGAATAGAGATCCATGGTTTCATATATAATCCTTTTGTGTTCTATATTGTATATTGGGCAGTACTTTATGGTGTTTAAGTTCGAAATAAAAATATTTTTTAAAACTCTTTAACATAACAAAATAAAGATCCAAGTTCTTAATAATAAAGATTAAGCTTGATAGTAATAAATGTAAAATCTTACACTTGAATACAAGAAATTGGCTTCATGATTTTTTCACAAGATGAGTATGTCAGGGGCAGCTTGGTGGCGCAGTGGATAGAGCACCAGCCCTGAAGTCAGGAGGACCTGAGTTCAAATGTGACCTCAGACCAAACACTTGACACTTACTAGCTGTGTGACCCTGAGCAAGTCACTTAACCCCAATTACCTAAGAAAAAAAAAAGATGCGTATGTCATCATTATCAGCGAACAGGGATAGTTTTATCACCTTTTTACTTATCTTTATTTAATTTCTTTCCCATCTTATTGCTGTTACTAGCATTTCCAGAACTATGTCAAATAATAGTGGGGAAAGAGAGCATCCTTACTTCACTCCTGCGTTTATTGGAAAAAAGTTCTAGTATATCTCCATTGCATATGATGCTTGCTTTTGGTTTTAGATAGATGCTCTTTATATTTAAAAAAAAAAAGTCCCTGTATGCATATACTTTGTAGGGTTGGGGTTTTTTTGTTCGTTTGTTTTTTAGCATAAAAGTGTGCTGTACTTTGTCAAAAGCCATTACTGCATCTATTGAGGTAATCATGTAGTTTTGGACATTTTGGTTTTCAATGTGATAAATTACATTGATTGTTTTCTTAATATTGAACCATCCCCGGTGTAAATCCCACACTGAGAGTGTGGTAGGTAGTGGAAGAGGTGATGCTGCATGAGTTGTTTGGTTTCTTTAACCTTTTAGGGTGGGAGGAGTGTTCTGATTGTCCTAGACCATGGTGGCAGCTAAAGTTGTTTTATCTTTGGCTCATAATTTCTGCTCTGGAGAGGTTTGAGAGGTCGTGAAGATCAGACAAGATATCTAGTCTTCTATCTTGTCAGTCATATGATCCAGAAGTTCCCCATCCACAAACTTTATACTTCAGCCAAACAGGGCTACTTTTTGCCCCCTGAACAAGCTTTATAAGCTCATGCTTTTGTGCCTTTCCTCACACATGCTTTTGGGCCCAGAATGCCCTTCCTACCCTTTTGCCTGTTGAATTTCTACCTACATAGCTCAATAAAGCCTTCACTGAAGTCTGTAAGTGACCTTTGTGCTTCACCCTCAGCACTTTGCACCTCTATAATGAATTATAGTTGTTTGTTTATATCTTATCTTTGTACTAGACTGAAGAAAGGGACTGTGTCTTCTCTAAGCTTTATCTATCTCTCCCAGCACCTGCCACAGTGTTCTGTACGAAACAGGCATTTGATGAATGTTCATTGAATTCAACACAACGAACATATATTGACTAGAATGGAAAAGAGGAAGGTAGGGCTCATTCCACCTCAAGGAAGTGGAATGTGCAGGAGCTGGGAAGGGTCAAGTTCACTCGGGGGGGGGGCAAACAAAATAATTTGACTAAAACGGGAGGTACCAAGTGTATAATCTCTCCTTTATATGACAGCCCTTCAAATACTGTAAGACAGTTCTGTCCTCCCTGGCTCTTCTTTTCTCTAGCCTAAACATGCCCAGTTCCTTTAACTAATCCTCATATCTGTGAATTTAAGGCCTTTCACTGTCCTGGTTGCTGTCTTCTCTCTTGCTTATCGATAGCCTTCTTAAATTGTGCCCAGAACGGAACACAACACTCCAGATAGTCTAACAAGGGCAGAGTGCGAGGGGATCATCACTTCCCTATTCCTGGGAGCTGTGCCCCTCCTAATGTCTTAGATCCTTGTATTGCTGGGAAGGGTTAAGTTTATCAACATTGGTCATCGCACAACGTGGCTGTTACTGTGTACAACATTCTCCTGGTTCTGCTCACTTCACTCAGCACAAAGGATCCTTTTCAATACAGCTTCTCTCCATCTGTGCCTCCCCTAACTTACATTTGTCAATTTTTTTAACCCAAGTGGAGGACTTTATATTTATCCCTATTGAATTTTATCTTATTAGGTTCACCCGGTGCTCTCAGCTGTAAAGATCCTTTTGTATCCTGACTTTCTTACTCACTCTGTTACCATCTTGGTGTCATCGACACATCTTACGAGCATGCAATCTAAGCCTTTTATCCAAGTCTCTGATAAAAATGTTAAGCAGCATGGAGCCAAGCACAGAACCCTTGGGTACTCCCCTGGAAACCTGCCACATTGACAGTGGATCATAAACTACTCAGCTATCCAAGTAGATGATTGACTGTGCGACACTGAGCAAGTCGTTTCACTTCTCTGTCTCTCAGATTTCTCATCTATAAAAGGAGGGGGTTGAGTACATGAGCTTCCCAAGTGTAATGTTACATGTTGCAAGATTACTTCCAGCTCAGATCTGCAACATTTTATATTCTGTGGTTGCACTTGGCCTTGGAATTGCGGGCATTATGGTCTGAGGTCCCTTACAGTTCTGTTTTCTGTATTCTAAGTCACTTCCGTCTCTGACATTACAGGGTCTTTGTTCTAGAGTCCCAATGGGAGAGATCTCTATGCAAAAGAAGGGAGATAGTCAATAAAAAAACACTACTAAAGATTTCACATTGGTGTAGGCAGCCAGCATGGGTACAAATAGTGCACCATAAGATAATTTAGGTATAAAGCAGAATGTCCTCTGAATATCAACTAAACCCTCAGAACTTGTCTTTGTGGCTCTGTAACATCAACTGACCATTGGGTACGCAATATTCAATGTAAACATTCACAAGGAAAACATATTCTTATCTTGGAAATGAGACTGTCCCTTTTTCTCAACTGATTGTTATTTCTTTTATTTTTTTAGGAACAAGAAGCTTCATCCAAGTATCTATCGGCAATAAAAGTCAACCCTTCATCTCATTCAATCTTAAGAGCTAGTCCTGTAGTGGAATTGAAGACTATATTGAAAGAGAGAAGACCTCGCAAGAACACTTTCATCATCAGAAGAACAATATTTGGCTCAGAACACATAAAAGAGAAAGCTAATTTTGACAATAATGTTTTTAGATTTAAATCCAGTTTAGAAAAAAGGGTGGAGTTGTCAGTGGTCACTGAGCAGTTTGAGCTTTATTTTCAGGAATGCATGCATCGGAAGCTAGTCTTTGCATAACTGTTTAAGCCCACATCCATAAATAAGCTTAGCATGTCATTTCAACAAGGAAAAGAATTTGATTACCTTATCACACAAATATACCCATTTTGACTCTTCCATTTGGAATAAGTCAGAGAAATTGCTGTGATTTGATTCCCAGCATGAAAATAAAGCTTTAATGCTGACTTTCAAAATCAATGATCCAAACCAAATGTTAGTTTCTATGTCAAAGGAAGTTGGCATTTTTGTATAAGATCCTGGAGAACAGCTTCTCTTGGGCAGTTCTGTGTTTTTTAACTATTGCAGGGCACTACACATTTAGTAGCTTTGATGTATAATTTAAATATAAAACTTTTTTTTTTTTTAAGCAGTTGGGGTTAAGTGACTTGCCCAGGGTCACCCAGCTAGTAAGTGTCAAGTGTTTGGTTGGAGGCCGGACTTGAACTCAGGTCTTCCTGACTTCAGGGCCGGTGCTCTATCCACTGCACCACCTAGCTGCCCCAATATAAAACTTTAAATTTCCATTTGTGGCACAATATCTAAAAAAAGAAAGGGAGATTTTAAAACTTGCTTTTTAACTTCAACTACAACAAATATTAACTGTTTACTATGTACAGAGCACTATGCTTGGTGCTAAGGGGGATATAAAGATCAATACAACCTAGTTCCTGTCCTCACCAAAGCTTTCATTGAAGGAACTGACTGTAAGCACTTACGAAAAATGAATACAAAATGATATATGATCAATGCAAGATTGGTTCAAACTCAATATATGCAGTAGTAGTGTGGTATGGTAAAAAGTATCTTCCTTTACTGAGAAATCAGGAAGGACTTTATGGAAGGAGATGGCATTTGAATTGGATCTTGTAGGATGGATAGAATTCTCAGAGGCAGAGAGATGGAAGTAGGGGTAAGTTAGGAAAGGGAGACATTTCAGGCATGGGAAATAGTAAACAAAAGAACAGAAGTGAGACTGTGGGGTATACGTGTATGAGAAAGTTAATAGTCCCATTTGACTGTAAACAGTGTGTATAAGGAGTATGAATGAGCAGTAAGGAGCTTTTGAAGAGTTTTGAGGAGATCATGACTCTTGCGGACCATCTTTCATTTATTCATTCAAAAAACTGATTGACAAACTGCTGAGTCCATAGTATTATGACAGGTGATCTGGGGTATCTCTGCTTCAGTGCTTTATTCTGGTGGGGGCAGTGACTCTGGGTTCTTGAAGGCTGTGCCAGCATTATGTAAGCTTTGTCAGATTTCATAGTTTTAGAAAGGCTTTGAGTATGGTGCTAGCATTAGACTGAATCTTTTTTCCCCCAATGACTAAGCTACCTTACAGCAGAGAGAAAGGTTATTGGATGAGTAGCCACTTGGTAATGAATTTTTTTTTGTGATGTCAATCCATACAACAAAGAAAAATAGGGGGTGGCCCTTGGTCCTGAGCACCCCACTTCCACTTCTTCAGGGACAGTGGCATAATCACAGAGAAAGGAACAGGAGTGCTAAGAATCACACACTATTTAGATCCTTAGTAAATTTGAATTTTATTATTGATATTCTAAATTCAAGCTCCTTGTCCAGGACATTTGGACATTTGAGTTGGACAATGTCCAAGTAGACATTTTGCTAAAGGAGCTGAATTCTAGTACTCTTGACATTCTTGCTATAAGTGGAACAAGGAGAAAGAAATTACAGATAAATGGAAGGATAGCTTATAAGTACTTTATGAAGAGGCAAAGAAAGGAGTTGTTGGAGTAGGTTTTATTGTACATCTAAAAGCAACAAGAAACATCATTTCATGGGATATTTGGCCATCACATATTACAGTGCTAATGATAAATATTTGCAAAAAGACCACCATGAAAATAATTGCATCATATGTACTAATATTGGTTATTGAAGATGCAATGATAGACAAATTCTATGAAGAACTCAACTCCAAATTAAATCTTACATCCTGATTCTTGATCACTTCAATGAAGGTGGTAAAAGATGAGGATGGGGAGAAATGTATGGGAAAGCATAAGGAAGAAGGAATGAGAAGCCTTACAGATTGTACAGAAGCCTAGAACCTTTATATTGTGAACACTTTCTTTAAATTGGTAGGGGACAGCTAGGTGGCACAGTGGATAGAGCACCAACCCTGGAGTCAGGAGGACCTGAGTTCAAATCCAGCCTCAGACACATAATACTTTCTAGCTGTGTGACTCTGGGCAAGTCACTTAACCCACCCTCCCCCCCCCAAAAAGAATTGGTAATGAAACAAGACAATTCCAAAGGACCTGTGATAAAAAATGCTATCCACCTCCAGAGACAGAACTGATAAACTCTGGATGCAGATTGAAGCATACTTTTTAAAAACTTTTTCTTTGTTTTTCTTTTTTCTTTTTTTTTTTTTCAGCCAAAGACAAGGTTTTTTAGAACATCCATCATATTGGGCAGACTCTTAAGGAGTCTGCACATTAGTAAGCTATTGTCTAGATTATAAGAATCTGATCAGTGGCTAGATTTTTAAGAATCCCCTTCTTTGTTTTTCTCATTCTTTTTTTTTTTTTAGTTTATGTTTTCTTTTGTAACATGGCTTATGTGGAAATAACATTTTGCATTACTTCACAAGTATAATCAGTATCTAATTGCTTGCCTTCTCAAGGGAGGGGGGAGGTGTGGCCAGGAGGGAGAGAATTTGGTACTCAAAATGTTAAAAAATGGTTGTTAAAAATTTTGTACATGTCATTGGGAAATATTTAATGAAATAAATATATTTTAAAAATAATTGGTAGATGTTAGTCATAGTGTGCTCCAAATAGTGTCATAAAGAATGAAATAAATTATATGTTAGATAGGAAAAGTCTTGTTATTCATGTGGGAGTTATCTCTGAGTTAGCTGTTTGTGAACAATGGAACCATAAACTTGTGGAGGAAAAAGGAGAGGAGGAGGGAAAATGTGCAACAAAAATGACATTAACACCTGCTATAAAGATTTTATTCAGAAGTTTAATCAATGTGAATGTATTTCCACAGCAAGGAGATCAGAAGAGCCCAGAAAGCTCCTTAGTCAATAAACATTTGGCTTGCTTGTCAAAAAGAGAGAGAGAGGGTTGTCAAAGACAACACTGGATTAGAATATAAGCCTGTTTATAAAATCTTATGAAAAAAGGTGATAGACAGTTATAAGTAGCATCATCTTATAAAGCAGAGACAAGGGTTTGGATGACTACCCTTTAGGGATTGTCCATCATCAGTAAAGTTATTTGGGAAAAATAGCGTAAGTGCACAAATTAGGCCCAGAATTGAACAGGAGGGGAGCAGGCTGTGTTGCTTTCAGAAACTTACAAAATTCATTTACTGACCCCAAACTTCCCACGAAAACAAAAAGACATCTTTTTAATACTAGCTTTCTCTTGGTGTTGCTACTTAGCAGCAAGACATGGAATACAACTGCCTCTGAAGAATTAAAGATGAGTATCCCACAGCAGGCCGTGGAGAGGTGTGGGCGAGCTACACCATACCACCAAGAAAACCTTCCCTTGATTCCCATAGTCAGCTCTAGTCTTATCCTCATTTATGCTCCCGTAGCACTTTGCCTGTGCCTCTCCTGGAATACTTAACACATTTAATCTTGTATCATATTTATTTGTACATCTCTTCTGCACTAAATTGTAAAGTTCGGGAGGGCAGGGACTATGTCCATTTCATTCATCTTTTGATCCCTCACTTCACCTAAAAGAGTTCCTTGGACACAGTAAGTGGTCAACACATGAGTTGAATGGGATTTGCAATTTGGCATTACCACCTTCAGGAAGGAGGTGGAAATTGAGTTGGTTTTTGAAAGAAGTGGGGTAGATAGAGAAGAGGGCATTCCAAGTCATAGGAATGGTGAAAGCAATGGTAAAATGAGATGAGCATGGTGTATACCAGGGACAGTGATTAGACCAGTTTGGCTGGGGTGGAAGGTCATGCTGGGAAAAAGTGGGAGATTAGTTTGTAAAACTCAGTTGGGGATAAATTATGGAAGGTTTAGAAAAACTAGGCAAAGGGGTTTAAATCTCATATGGTGGTAGGGAGTCACGGAAGGTTCTTCATTAGTGAAATGACATAATAAAAATGGTGTTTCAGTAAAATTAATCTTGCAACAGCATGCAGGGTGGATTAAAGGAGAGACTGAAGATAGAGAGCCCAGTTTAATAGGTTATTTAAAAACTCAGATAAGAGCTATTTAAAAGGCCTAGACTAGGATGGAAATGGAAAGGAAGGTATGGATATAATCAAGGGAAGAATTTATAGGGCTTGAGACTAATTAGATATGACAGACAAGAAGAAGTCACACAGGGGGTGGAACTTTATAAAAGATATAAGGTTTTTTCCAACTCTTAAGTTTTGTGATTCTATGTCCCCAAAGTTTTGGATCTGGTCACTTGGAGAATTGATATTAATCATAGCCAATAGCTATATAGCATTTCACGCATTTACAGAGATCTTTCACATGCATTATTTCATTTGATCCCTACAACAATATCATTTCCATTTTAGATAAGAAGAAGCTAAGGTTCTTCAGATGATATCATTTGCCCCAAGTCTTACAGCTAGTAAGTTTCATAAGACACAGGACTGGGATCTAGGTTTTCTGACTAATAACACTGACCAAAATCAGGAATTTAAGAAGGAGAACTATTTTTATTTTTTTTTGGGGTGGGGAACATGATGATTAATTCTGTTTTATATTTAGCTTGAGTCTTCAGGAAAGCAAATGAAAAAGTCTAGTAGGCAGTTGAAGATGCATAGTATGAGAGAAACAACTGGAGCTAGAAGAGTGGTCAAGGCTAAAGATACAGACTTGGGAATCATCTGTATAGGAGTTAGAACTGAAGGCATGAGGGTGGGAATATTTTCCATGTTGCATTATGTTTTGCCTATTTTTTGGTGAATATTTTTCATAAAGATTTGAAGTTTCAAGCATTTAAGTGAATGTTTTACTATTTGTGACATCCTTAAAACTTATTGGTTTCTTGCTTTGTCACATGAGGTGGTTTGCTTCCTTTCTTATTCATTCATTTAGCCAGCAGATATTCAGTGAGCTCTTATGATGTACAAAGCATTTTAAAATGAACATTTTCCTCCCAAATGTTAGGTGTTCCAGATTTCCAACTATTATTGTTTCACACTACAATAACAACTGGTCCACAGTTAAAAGGTTAGGTTAGGGATTATCTCTAAAATCTCTTCCAGCTTAAAAATATCTGCGCTATCTTAGCCAATCAGTCAGTCACTAAGCATTTATTAAGAGCTATGAGCCAGGCACTGTGCTATCCTTCGGGAATACAGATGCAAAGAGCAAGACAAGCCCTTTTCTCAAGGAGCTTACATGCTTTAATGAGAGATG